AGAGAACGTGACCAAAATCATCCATACCACAAGATACTAAACATATTTTCCTACAAAAGGGCCATTTATTACATAGTTGCACTGCTTTTGACAATGTAAGAAGCTCCCCCACTTTCCCCATCAGACTCGTCTGAGCTAATGACAATTACATCTGGAGGTGGAACATGAGGCACCCACTCATTCGAGTCGGACGGTGACTTGACTGGGCCCCAAACCTCGAAGAGTTGATCGAGAACGCTGTTCGGTGACTTAGATTCTGCACTTGACACTACGTCAAACTCGGCACCATGCAGTTCAACTCTTACGTCCTCATCGTCTGACAACAAAACGATGGGAAACTCAGCGGATGAACCCAGTATGGGTGGATGCATATTGGAGTTGAATGTTTCATTGCTAGAGGTGGATGAACCCATTATCTCGTATCAACTACCTGTTTCAAAATGGAAGCCTCACAACAGCTTTAATGACATACGAAATGTAATTTGATAGACAATGCTTGTAATGCATTCATTATGATAGTATAAATGTATTGGAAATACTTGTTACTTGCAAAAAATCAGAAACGTATAATATCTACAATAGCATGTTACACTAACACACTTGTATTGGACAATCCCACCATTTTCAATTATCGAAACGCAAGGAAGTTATAAAATTTAATGGCCCGCCTAGTTGAACTGTCGGGCCCGACAGATGTTTTATTCATTCTTGACAGTTGACGAAAACGTGCATTGCAGTAAAGATTGTATAATTTTGAATTTTGGTAAACTGCAGAATAAATGAAGAAGAATAAATGTACGCATACATAATTTTTTGCGCAATACAATGTACGAGCGTTGATGAACATTGAATGAAGGGATTTAGTACCGTAAGTACGATTGACATAACATAATAAAGCCGGATAACTAATACAAGTTCTAACACTACAATAATTTTAGCAACGGTAAACGGTGACAAGGCATTCACCACGGGAATTGCAAAATGTGATGAATGCTTCTAAGTGTCACCAAGCTTGCCAACTACCCTGTCTGATATGTAAATCACAAAAATGAATGAACAAGTCACCAATATAACGCGAAGTAACTAACATCCTTCACCACGTAAATTACATCAAACAAAATACAAAAGCATGCTGAACCCCGTCATCGTGCTATGTTCGGCAATTTATCCACAAGTATTAATGTTTTTGCTTTGTGCTCTCCCTCGTGTACAGAGTCCTGGTAGCAGGTGCCGGACATCGCAGTCGTGCGGATCTCCGTCTATTTGTCGTAACTGCCCGTCCTGGTCGGGCAACATCGACGGGAACTGGGAAAGTTGCAACGTAAGCAACTGAGAACGAAAATTAAATTCAATTGTCCAAAATTAAGGCAATACCTTGCACTTCATCCACTGCAACAAGCGCTAGCACGAGGTCATTGTCAGGGCATGGCTCAATGTGTACTGTGTCTGTCGAAAAGAACAATTAAATATTTTCAGTGTATAACTACATGTACGAATTTTCAAATTATGCCAAGTACATGAAATAACAATCTACAAGTTTTCCTCATAAATGACCCACATACCCTGCAAATTTATGGTTCCAGTAGGCACCATGTCCTTCTCTTTCTCACAGTCGCCAGGCGATGGGTGGTGGGCCCCTTCGACTACAACAAATGAACAATTGTAAACTAATCGAATGCCTGAAATAATATTTGTTGAAATTGTGAAAAATAATGCAATACCTTGCACTTCTTCCATTGTAGAGGGCTCTGGCACGGGGCGATCCTCCGGGCACGGCTGAATGTGCGCTATGTCTATTCAGAACAACAACGAAACAGCGAATGGAAAGTGAATTTTAACAATTTTCAAAAGTTCCGAAACACATGAATGATAATTAATCAATTTGCTCAAAAGTAACCGACGTACCTTCCACACTTTCGGTTCCAGTGGCCAGTGGCATATCCTGCTC